ATTTTTATCCAATTTTTATAGGTCCTAGAGTAATGACTCTTCAAACGGTTCAAGGTAGTCCTGTGAAGGTAATGAGCAGTATACCCAAAACTATTACTCTCACACCTGCACAAATGGTAAGTCCTTTGCACTGTTGTAATACTTATTCAGGATGGTATGATTTCTTAGCACCTATAAAAGTTTGTTGAATCAAAACAATCACTTTTTTTTCTAGCAAATGTTAACATCTCAGCAACGAATAGTTAGCTCGAACATTTCGCACACATCTGCTAATATTATTCAAACTCAAGCTCCAATCCAACAACAGCAGACTCAAGTGGTACAATCTCAACAAACATCACAACCTGTGGTACAACAACTTCAGCAACAATCGAACAAAAATTATATTTCTCCCATCCTAGATCATAGTGGATCACGGAAAAGGCAAGAAATTGAACCAGACCACATGCCTGCATAGTAAGTCTATCAGAACTTTTGTAGTGCTTTACCCTCTCAATGTCCTCAGCACTTGAGTCTTTACTTCATTGTCAACATTTACTTTGCAGTAAAAGAAGGAAATCAGACAAAGTTGGAAAGGGTCTGAGGCACTTTTCAATGAAAGTATGTGAAAAAGTAAGGAAAAAGGGCTCAACTTCTTACAATGAGGTTGCCGATGAACTTGTCGCTGAATTTACTAATCCTTCAAACCTGCACAACAACTCTCCTTCTGATCAGGTACTTCCCTTTCTAAACACTTGAACATTGTACATGAAAAGTGGCATGGACTCAGAATAAAATGCATTACTTTTACAGTATGATCAGAAGAATATCAGGAGGAGAGTTTATGATGCTTTAAATGTCTTGATGGCTATGAATATAATTTCAAAAGAGAAGAAGGAAATCCGGTGGCTGGGATTGCCCACAAATTCAGTTCAGGAGTGCACATCCCTAGAAAGGGATAAGCATCTTATTGGGGAACGTATTAAGCAAAAAACTCAACAATTACATGAATTGATTCTTCAGGTGAGTCTTTACTTACTTTACTAAGTACTTTTACTTTAAGTATGTTAACCAACTGCTGTCACTGCAACCATCTTTACCAAGATAACTTGTGGGTAATCACCATTTGTACTCCACAGTTAATATGGTTTATTTTTACAGCAAATTTCTTTCAAGAACCTTGTTGAACGAAACAGGGGTCAAGAGAGCAAATATGGAGTTCCAGCTCCCAATACAGCTATTCAGCTTCCATTCATCATTGTCAATACCAGCAAGAAAACTGTCATTGATTGCAGAATTTCTAATGACAAGTACGTGTTCAGGTTTTACCAAGTATATATAGTTGGTTTATTGGAGCTTTTCTCTAATATCACCCAATCTATTTTACAGAATGGAATACCTCTTTAATTTTGATGATAAGTTTGAAATTCATGATGATATTGAAGTTCTTAAAAGAATGGGAATGGTGCTTGGTAAGATTCTATTTGCATTGCTAGACGATTTGATTTCAAATGTGTTCATTTCAAAACCATATTTTTTGATGCATGAAATTGTTTCTCTATCTTAGGTCTTGATAAGGGAGAATGTACTGATGAAGAATTATTAAAAGCAAAGAGTATGGTTCCTCGATCACTAGAGAACTACGTCGTTCGTAAGTACACGTCTTGTAATAGAAAAATCAATCAATTTGTTTTATACAAATCTTGTACTATTATCTAACATACTTCTATTTTAATTTTTTTCCTATTAGAACTAGCTCAAGGAAATACTGAACCAGATCTGCCTGAGTTATCTGCTGGTCCAAGCTCATCTTCAGTGAATGCATCATTTTTGGTTGATGAGTTTGATACACCTATGGGCCTTTCTCGTCATTCTTCACACACTGACCTGTCTGAAGAACCCCTTTCTCCATCACTTGAGACATATTCTGATGATGACTCTGAAATGTCAAGTGACGTGGAAATGCATTAGTGAAAAGCCTTGTGAAAGAGATATTTTTGTACATTAACCAGTCCAACAGTTTGGTGAAACGGAGGCCTGGAATGTTTCCCCTGTATTTGTAAGTCAGGCCTTTTTCTATAGAAAGGTCTTCAGACACAGGGAGATCCATAAATGTGTGCCAGTGTCTGGGGTTTTGAAGCTGAGCAAGCTTTGCATCCACCAGTTCTTAAGTTTTAATTTTCTGCTTGTGAAATAACATTTCCAGTAAGTGTTATTTTCTTGTGAAGTGCAATATGAATTCAGTATTTTGTAAATTGTGAAAGCTTATTTGTGTGGTCATGGGGAGCTGCAAAAACTTCTACCTGCTAATTACTCGGGAACATTACCCCGAATTAAGGTCCTTCAGTCCCCTATACAGATTTCTCCTAACTCATTGTGGTAACTCATTCCTTGTCTGCTAAACATCATAAAATGTTCATCATCTAGAAGTTCAGTAACTTGCTGTCTAAAAGTCTTTCATTCATCAGCTTTATTGACAATAAGCCTTATCTACAAATTTACTTTGAGACCATTACTTACACCGTGAGTGAAGTGGTCTAAGTAGATTTTCTGAAATGCACTAAACCCATCTGCATTACTAGAACAGTAATGAAACATGCTCAACTTTGATTGTATGTTTGTATTTAATTCAAGTATTCCATGCGGATAAGAGGCTTGAATAATCTCACATCTAGTTGTTTTTTGTTTCCTTTTTTTAAACATGTCAGTAGGACTTTTTCATTGTAATTCATTTTATGAATGTGAAGTAATTTTATGGATGTGAAGTAATCTCCAATGTATCAGCTCTGTGCAGACCTATGAGTGAGAGGAGCAATATGCTTTCTGAGGTTTAAAATAGATCTGCTCTGAACATGCCCTTCATTGATCAAGGTGTGTATGTTTAAGATATTCACTTTTGTTTCTGATGTAATGATAGACTTCTCATATTCTATTTTTATGAAGGATAAAATTTGATATTTTAGGCTTTTCTAGAAGTACAATGCAAATGCACTGATTCTTATCCTACCTATTTCAGTACATACACAGTAATAATACTAGTTACAACCTGCTCTATGGAAGAAGTACCTAAGTGAATTTTACCTCAAGTTAGTATGCATTGTCATTCTGACCGCCTAATAGTTTTGTTTCTCCCTTTTTACAAAATTAGTCTGTATATAGCCAAAGCAATTTCATGCTTTCTTAATATTAACTATTTCATTCTTTTAAACAAGCTGTAACTTAGGAGGTCACTGTACATAAATCCATATTCTTGGAATTATTGAAGTAGTTCAACATGATTCTAAGGGCTCTGATTTATAAAGAACAACTTTCTTATTTTGTACTGTTAATTATACACCTTACCTTCAGTCTTCTGTTCTGGTTCAGCAAGGTAACTTAGCTCAAAGCACTCCAAAAGTTCCCTTTTCCCCTCTTTCTTCTTAATGTATATTACCTTTTTAGCTAAAGGATTTCTCAAAGCTGACATTTTTACTTACAGATTTTGGCATACACCCTTGCAATAGGATCATGAGTTAAGCATGTTACAATTATGGTAGAATATATAGTAGTAGGCAGACTTTGAGATGGATTGGATCTTTGTCTTTGTGTTGTTACACCCTTGATGATGTAGACAATACTGTGTAAGATAGTCACTCAGGCAGAGATGAGAACAGATACTGTTCCCATCACCCTGTATGAAACCTGTGCACCTGTGTAGCCTAGCCTATTGGCTGAGAATATTTGTTACTATTTTGTATAAACTAATGAAATGAGAAACAAATCAGCATGTACAAAGATATAATTTTTTGGAAGTTAGTTAGTTAGCTTAATTCTTCTCAAAGTTCAAGGGAAGGGTGTTTATAATTTTTATGTACAAATTAATGCCTCAAGGAATGCCTTCTGGAGATGAATCAGGGTAATGTCTCTCATGCCATTTGTGAAACAAAGACTTGTCTTGACAAAGTAGATATTTTCTGTTCAATTGCAACTTTTCAAAAAGTATGAATACTCTTTTTACTATTTTGATCCACTAGTCACATTACCTATACTTCAAGTTAGTATTTTATTTTACTTTTAACTCACTTTTTGTAGCATTTTACTGAGTGTGTCAGATTGTGAAATCTTCCCATTTTGATGAGTGAAGCCTTTAATATTACACCAGAAAAACCTTGCTTCCACTTTACTTTCACTTACCAGGGTGTTGAATTTTGCAGTTACCCATGGGAATTAAAAAAATTACTGCCTTCCTATGACAACCATTCTGTTTTGCAGTATTTCAGTGGCAGTTGAACTGTACTCAATTTTATCATTTGCGACTTTTGGGGATTACGTCGTTAGTTATGAAGCAACTGTTTTGAAGTGTTTTTATTGTCTTATCAAAGTATGACATGCATGAGATACTTATATTTTGATAAAGTATATATTCAGTTATGGAAAATACCATCCATCACAGTTCATTGTGGTATGTGAGACCAAGTACTGCAGTAATGACCAAATTTCAGAGGAGACCAAAACCTGTGTCGCTCCGTTTTTTGTTTTTAAAAAAAATTTGTTTGGATCTCACGTATTGCTATTTTTACCCTGGACATGAAGGCATGATGTCTATGAGGACAATAACAACAATTGTAGATATTGTATGAAATGGTGGATTATTTGCGTCGAGATGAGATGATTTATTAAGATTGTGTGAGCACTCCTTTTGTTACCCATTGTACTGAGTAGTATAGTGACTCATCATGCCTTGGAGTGCAAAGTATGTGTTACTTGATGTGGCATAAACCGATTTTCAATAAATAGAATCACTTAGGATTAAAATTAGCAATTTAGAGTAACAATCTAAATGCAATTTGGTTAATTCTGTTCACTTATTGAACAAAGCAGGAATCATTTGTACAGTTTATTGTTGCTTTTCTTTTTCCCATCTAGTAGATGTATTTTGTTAACTCTCTTTCTACTAGACACTTAGCCATTTACAGGTGAACAATGCTTTTCAATGGTGAAAACTCTGTAATTGTCTAATCTGTTTTGTTCTATACCTTCATGACCTACCTTTTACCTAATGGGCAGTTTCTTTCTTGTTATCCTTGAAACATTCAACTGTTTAGAACTGAATACTGAAATACAGTCTCTGTATTTAACATGTGTCTTTCTATGAACATTTTTAATGTGTACAGTACTGTGTGCCTGAGTCAGGAAACAAGTAGATGAAAAGAAATTCAAAAAATACAGGAGTATTTTTTTTGTTTATTCTATGTGACAATACATTTAATTTAAACATATTCATCATTGAGTTTATAAGCATAAAAAGCTGGTGCTCTAAGCATGTGTATATAGGAAACAAACTCCGATAATGTTCTTTTTCACAACGTTAAGACCTGTACAAAAATAAGTCACCGTTGACCAAAGAGGTACTAATATGTGCCTTACTGAATTTAGGATTTTTTTGAGACTTTAAGCCTTAAAATCACTCCAGACAATTATAAATAACAAAATTCAACAACACAGAGCAGAAACAAACAACAATGCTCTTACAACAACCAATTTTCACAATACGAGGCATGCTACAAAATTGCATTTGAAAATAATGGAGCCCAACAAATACCCAACAAATAAAACTACATATATCAAAAAATATATATGATCTTACTATTTACAAAGTAAGATCCCATTGACATTTTATGGCAACAATGAGCCAATATTCATAATCTTACTCCAATGACCTGAAATAGCAGCACATTTTGATTTCATTTTCAGAGACTAGAACACACCAAAACAAGTTAAGATACTTTGGCGTCTGGCGCATAAAACAAAGAACTATAAGATAACTCCATAGTAAGATTTCATTTTCAATAAAGTTCAAAAATAATTACCTATAACACATTAGACACTTGATTGATAAAAACTAAAAGTTGATAGACAGTAATTCAGTGACTAATATAAATGGCAGGTGTACCGTACAATGTTATATACTGTTACAAACTTATATGTGCTACCAATAAGTATATTTTATAAATAATATCAGTAAGCAACCTCCGTTTCACTGGCATACAAACGAAAGGGACTCTCGACATCCAACGGAAAAACATGTAATAAGACACGTACTTCGACAAAAGATTATTCATAAGTACCTGCACGAGAGTTCTAGTTCATTCTTAGTTCAGAAAGATGCATACATCTCTAATACAAAATATAACTGTTCAGTCATTTCAACAGGAATCAAGTACAAAATGCAATCTAATCCTGGAGAAGAATAGAATATAGTAATTAAGTTTAAGTTAACTTCAAACAAACAATGAAAAATTCAGTCAAGGTTCAAACCAAATCAAAAATAATGATTAAATTTACATGGGTGGCATGGATCTTTGCTTTAAATTAATAAATTTCAAAGATACAAAAAAAGGGGAGAAGAAAAAGCTCCAGCATGAGATGAAAATGTGCGTTTTGCAACAGGACTTCAGAAATGCTGTCAGTGGCTTTCTAGCTCAGGATTAGTGGGAAGTTCTGGAAGGCAAAATAGGTACTAACAATGGAAGACTTACACGAAATGTAGGATATTAGAAGAATAAATAAGAACTAGACAGGCAAAGTGAACAAAACAGTAGCCTAAGCCAAATCATTCTTAAGAGTCTGTGTAGGGGCTAAGATAACTTGCAGGAACGTACCCTTTCCTTCCATACCTATCCTCAGCATGCCACCATTCCTTGTTCCCTTTCACGTCCTGCTTTTGTAAAATGTTGACAACTTGTCCCTCCTTGAGAGCTAAGGTCTGAGGACCCATACCTTCAAAGTCATACAGAGCATAGTAGAACTGAAATAGAATACAATTAAGTTAAAAAAAATCATGTAGGACAAAATAAAACTGGGAAAAAAAGAAAGAAAAACATATTTAAAATTTATGAACTTAAAGAAAAATAAACAAACATATGAGGAAATGAAAGCAAGTCAAGTCACACTGAAGACTAACAAATAGGCATAAGAAAGCACATTGACGTAAGCATAAAGAACATTTTGAAAGCCTTTACCTGATCTACATCACATGTGGAATCTTCTTCTTGATTCTCAACTTCATCTAGCATCTGCAATATTCAGAATAGGAATAGATATGCAATAAGGGCTAATAACAAAGCATTGAGCGACACAAATGTATGACATGAAAGCACACAAATAAAAAGAAGCCTTAGTTTAGAATAGGTAAAACAAATTATTGCACTCACTTGAATATTTTCATAAATATTGTTTTCACCAGAGGCATTTAAAACAGGTCCATAGTGATCATCTGACTCAAAAGGTACTTCTTCATACAATGCTCGGTTGCATGCTGTGTTTGTCACTTCTTCATAAGATGGCGGCAAGTTGCTGGTTGGTGTAGGTGATTTTCCCTTAGGTTTAGGTGGGCTTAGTGACTGACGTGGGCTATGATCCAATGACCTGAACAGGCAACAGGCATAACATCAATGCTAGTCTTCAAACAAACAACTTGATGAGAAGACAAATGCAACAGTGTATTTTAATTACTGACCTATTGCTCAGTGCTGAGTCAGGCCGAAGCTTATTTGGGGACGAAGAAGCACAAGAACTTATGCTTGAATTGATGCTTGATGATGGAGAAAGCGAGAGTCTGGACGAAATTGCTTCAAGACACTCTTTCCGAACAAATCCCTGAGCCACTAGCCAAGAATAAAAACACTTAGTCAAACCAAAATTATGTGACTAACTCTAGATTGTTATATAAACTTACCTCCATTATCCACAAACCAACGCAGGGAGCTCCCCATTGGGTCTTGCATCTTGATAACTCCCACCAAATGGCCTTTACTGAGAGCAAGGTCTAGTGGATCAGCAGCCACATGATCTTCGATGGTACTAAATAATTTACTGGAGGCATATCTGCTTTGCAGATAAGCTCTTTGACTTGCACTTTGCTCCAACTGGAGAGATGAAAAGCAAAGAAAGTATGAAATTTGACTACTCTCTCTGAGTAAAGAAAGCAGCTACCTAGCTGGTGGCACATGAAGCAAAGTAAGTACCTTTTGACCATCAGTCCCAAGCTGCCGGTTCAAATTAGGAGAAGTTTTAAGAGATTTCCTGCTGTTTCCTCCTGTTTCCTTAAAAGCTTTTGATGAAAAACTCAAGCGTCCAAGTTGATTACACACAAGGAAGTGTTTTACTGCAAAAGATTCTACAGCATCTCCTGTGGCTAAAGATAGTGAGGGAATCTGTCATTAAAAAAAAAAAAAAAAAGCTTTCAAAGATTGGAACAAACTTAAAAACTGTACAAAATAATAAACAAATTGGCAGTTATAGAATTTTAAAGGTGGATTTACGAACGCAACGCCGCAAGCGTAGCTCAACCGCTAACGTTAAAACAACGCTCGGAGGGTCACTCTCCCTGTCGTCACCCTGTTCGGACCATTTCTCCACCGTTAACTCAACGCTAGCGTTTAAGATAAGCTGGCTGCGTTGCGATCGTAAATCCACCTTAACTCTTTTGAATTTATATACCTCCATCAGATGTAAATACTGCTTTGTTATTTTCCCTGAAAACAGTTTTTGAGATCCAAGCAGTGAAGACAAACATTCAACTAGAATCTCAGTGCTTGACTTAATCAGCACCGGTAAATCTTCTAAAAGCTGTTGATTTAGAGCTTCATAATTATTTTTGCTTTTTTGTAATTCCTCCTGCAGTTGTCTGTTTTCTTTATTTTTATCAGCTTTTGCTAAACAATTATCATAATCCAGAAGCTTATCATTTCTTTTTTCAATTAACTTGGATGGACCTTGGAAAAGTTCAATTAAAGTCATAAGAGGAGCAGTCACTCTTCTTTCAACAACAATTTTAAATTCATCCCAATATTGGCTTAAAATGAGTCGCTGCGTAGTTCTGAATTCATCTACATCTTGATCACTAGAACGCTCCATATAAAATGTGGCCAAAACTTCTCCCAAATGAAATAAAGCTGTGACTTCTTCATTCAGATAATTTAGTTGAACATCAAGATTACGTACTAAAAGGCGTAATGTCCTCTCAAGAGCATGAAATGAACGCTCTTGCTCCAAGAACAATTCATCTTTTGGAGCTAAGCTTAAGCCAAGAGTCGAAGATAATTTTGCACTTAGGCGAGATGACTTCTTAGCAACTGAGTGAAGGTTTAATTTAGCCATCTTTCTCGCTAGAGTAGAAGTACCATCACCTAAATATTTAGACACAATATCTTTTCTACGCTTATATTCGTTTATATCAGATGCCATATTGGTGAAAACTTTGACTGCTTTCAACAAATCATGTTTATCTTTATGACGGTCTTCTGTACATTTGATGAGTTCATTAAGAATCAGTGGATACTTTAAAAGCCTCTGAACTGGTTTAATGAGGACAGATCCTACGTTAAAACATGTAACCTGGTATCTTAGAGTTTCCATTGCTTTGTCAAAAACTGCTTGTGCCCCTGGGACTGTTTTGTATTTATCAAGTAAACATAGTGCATTTTCATGATTTGCACAGTATTCACTGTAAACTTTTTTGATAAAATCTGCATGTTTGAGGAAAACTGGTCCAATGCACTGATTTTCATCAGATTGGCCTTTCATAGCAAATTGAAGAGAGTCCAAAAAATTTTCTGCGACATGCATTACATCTAGGATATTTCCAAACAACGCCTTCACATCAATACCCCTTTCTTCAAGCATTGTAGGATTATGCAAATTAAAGACTTCATATGTCATCTTCAGATCTCGAACATATTCTTTCTCGGTCATCACAAGTTCTGATATCACATTTTGCCTCTGTTCCTTCATTTTGATTTTCATCTGTTCTGTGCATTCTGAAGATGTCTGATGGGTAGACGATTCAGCTTCTGTTTTGTCCAGTTTACTCTTAAAATGATGAATATCAATTTTCAGTCTTCGCATTTTCTTTTCATACATTGCCCCACATTGACGCAACTCTTCTGCACGCTGATCATTTCCTTCAGTTTTTTCTAATTCTGTTTCAACTTCCTCGTGCACCATCTGGATTTCCTGTAGGTGTAGACACATAACTTGTAAATGAAAAAAATCACAATGAATATACCCAATTAACTTATGAAAGTGGGAGAATCATCATAAAAGTTACATTATGAAGAGAAGTTACTTACAAACCCATTCCATTTAGAAGCATGTCAAAAATTTATCATTGAGATTAAGAGATAAAAACTTAACTAATCTCTATTTGAGATGTGCTAAATTTACAAACCTGTAGCTGCTTTTCTTTCTTTGTTAGGAGTTCCCTTATGTCGTCTACATCATTTACATCATCTGACAGCACTAGAATAATAGGAGCAATATTTTACAATATTTATGACAACTACCAATAAAAGCATTACCTACACAACTTAAGAAATGCAAAATTTTTACCACATGGAGCCGATGTCTGTCTTGGCAATCTTTTCAAGCTCTTCCGCACAGGCGTCTGACCAGCAACAGGAACAGGAGGAGCAGGTCTATGTGGTGCCCGATCAATACTAGATCTTCTGGATGGTGGAGGAGGGCGTTTAGGACATGATGGTTTGGGAGGTAGAGGTATGGGAGGAGCAGATCTATGCTTCATTTTATTTTCTGTTGGAAAAAAATAATTAACATAAAAAAATCTATAAGTCCAACATTAACTATTTAAATACAACTTTGAATTCTTTCTTTTTTTCTTATTTACCTTGAATGATAGTAGGTTGATCATTATGTGTGTTTGGAAGTACTGTTGGTAATGGTTTTATATCTTTGACAACCTGTTCAAACATTCCATTTGATACTTCAACAGCATCTGCCGGGGGAGGTGGTGGAGGATAGTTTGGTGGTTTAAGATCGTCTACATCTTCCAAAATATCAGATCTATCTTTGTTGCTATTAGAAAAGTCATGTTGCTCAAGTTCCTCATCATTCTTGTCACTTTGAACCTTGACAATGTTGAGTTCTTCTTTGTAATCAATGAATGTTTTTTCAATTGGTGATCTTCTTTTCAATGGTATAACATCTAATCCAGAGAGGTTTCTTGTTATCAAATCATCCACTTTATTTTCTTTCTTTCTGAATTCCACTGAAAAGTCGTGAGGCTCAAAGGTCCTAGGTGCTGGTTTTTGAATACTCAATAAGGGCTCCAGGGTGCAGGTAAAGCTAGTAGATCTGAATAAAGTTCCAGGAGGGGAGACACTTTGTGATGTCAAGTGATTGGAAGGACACAGGCCAGTAAGCCCAGACTGATTCCGCACTTCATACCAGTCTTTATCAATAATATTCATTACCATCACAGTTTCTCCTTCTTTCACAGACAAGTCTCCATTCATTTGAGCATCGAAATTATAAATTACTTTGGCATATGATCTAGGCGTTAGACTTTGGTGAGTATCAGCGTTGTCTATTTGGTTCAACACAGGGCCTCTCCAGCCTCTATCACAATCTACTAGTATGTTGACATAACTTACTGGGAAAATACCTTTCCTTCCATCAATTTCTCCTTCAAGCCAACCATCGTCAATATAGCGGATAAGATGAACAATTTCATTCTCATGAAAACTCAACTCATTAGCATACTGAGCATAAAAGGGATAGAGAGTCATGCCATATGGTTGAATATTGCCATCATCTAGTTCACTTACAAGCTCAGTCAGATATGATGAACTGCCACCTCTTATAGCCAAATCTGACCGTTGGGAATGACCCTCAAGGTTGTAACTCTCTGAACACATTGATGGCATGTTGAGTTTAAAATAGTCATCCTTAAAAATCTCGTCGTCTGAATTTACAGGATTTGGTTTAGATTGCATAGGCCTTGCCTCCTTTTCAGGAGAGAATGACATTAGATCCTTAGAGAATGACTCCACCTCAACATTGTTGGAACAGTTCTGGAGACTCTTTGTATTATTTTCATTGTTAAATGTTGAGTTGAAAGTGTTGGTGCAGTGAAGAATTCCAGAGTTGTCACTAAAAACACTTTTCGGTATAGAATCATCTAAATCAGCCTGGTTTGTTGGTGTCTCCTCTAATAATGTGACATATGCTGCTGGAAAAATTCCACTCCGATCCCCGCAAATGCCCCTTAAAAAAAAACAAAAACTGATTAATATTAAATCTCTTACTTTTGTTCAGAAAGTTCAAGGATGGTAGACGTCGAACATGCCTAAATCATATTATGTACCTGTACCATCCTTTATCAGTTTCCTCAATAATAGTCACAACGTCTCCCACACAAAGATCTATTTCTTCTTCTAGTTGTGCTTTCAAACTTATTTTAACTCGTGCTTTGACATTCATGGCAGTTTTGCTTCTCTGAGCCTGTTAAGGGGGTTTTCAAAATATGCATTCAGGGATGTCAGAAGCACAAAACATTAATTTAATCAACTATACCTTTCGAGGTGAAGAATTTATAAGCCATGTAAATGTGTCAGGAAAAACACCTGTGCGATTTTGGCTAATCTTTCCATACCACCAGTGTTCATCTAATTTTTTCTCACCAATAATAAATTCACCTGCAAAAACAATCATGAAGTGACCACTTACAATTAAGTCCCAACTGCTTAGAAAGAAATTTTTAATTAAATCAAATAAATAGAAGAGATACCTTTATAAAACCTCAAATCTCCATCCTGTTCTCCTGAGAAATCAGCAATTGCAAGGAAAAGTTCTTCATTGTCTTTAAGCTCAGGTGTTTCAACAGGAATTAGCTGATCCGAGGGAAATAATCCAATTCGACCAATGGAATTTCCGTAGCACCAATACTTGTCGATTGGCTTAATGACCTGTGGAGAGAGAATTGAGAGATTGAATGAGTAATGCTGCCAGTCATTGAGTGGAGATTTTTGTCAGAACACTTACTTGGAAAATATCACCTTTGGAGAGACTAAGCTCTCCTTCCATTGTAGTAAATACATCTTTCAATACTTTTGTAATGCTACCAGCTTCCATTGTTTTAAGCTACAAGAGAAAAGGCATGAAAGGCAGGCCGGCATATAGGGTTGTTTCTGTTGTTTGAGAAAATGACAATCACACAGTCCAACAGCAGATTTACATTTATAATAAAAAGCTAGTATGTATAAATCTTAAAATGTAAGTAAAAGTAATATAAGTAAAAATATTATAAGTAATAAGTAAAAATAGTGGACTTGAAAGCCTGATGAAGTTGGGTGCAGTGAAAAACGCACAAATAGCACTATAATTGAACAAGAATAATTTTGAAGCAGACGGATATGCTTATAAACTTTCAAAGTACCTTCAATTCGAACTTCGACACACGAAACCTTTCCGTTCTCTACACCTAGTTGTCCATTCGTGTTAGGAGACGTCATCTATCAACCTGTAAGCCACTGTAAAGCCTCCTATCAGTGCAAAATTTTATAATTTCGCTCCATATCTTAACCTACTCTTATCAATCAAACAGCTTGTTTGGGTTGTTGCTGTCATTGTCATTGGGTGCTTTCACTTTTCTTTACAGAAGAGACAGGAGGGAGGACCACTGACCGCAGTTGACCGCCACTACCGGTGGGTTTGTGGGTTTCCGGCTCCTGGCGCGCTCTCTTGATTTCCAATTTCCCGATGCGTCAGGTTTGTTGAAGTGGTTTGAACGGTTTGAAGTTTCTGAGTGTTTGCTCGCAAACTTGAGCTTTCTCAGGGCAGAAATGCAGACACAATGCTGCATGCGTAGCATGCGTATGCGTTGCCCCGAGTTCATGCCTCCCCGCCACTCCACGATAATGCTCAAGGCTTTTTCAGCATCCGCCGCGCCGGCGCTATCAGCGATTCCGGTCCTTCCGGGGCTGCATACCCATTATCACTCAAGGCTGGACCGGCTGGACAAAGAAAAAGCCATTTAGCCTTGCCACCTGCCACCCCCTGGCCACCCATGTGCCCCTCCCCTCCCCCCATCCTAAAAAAATATAATAATAAATGACATTATTCCCGGTCGCATTTTAATTTGGTAAAAAAAATGTACTAATGCGCATCGATGCATTTAATAAAAAGCCTTCGCAAGCTAAAGGGAAGTTTTGCGACATCCAAAATCAAAAGACAATCTCCAGGCGCGCGCCGTTGTTCTTTTGTCAACAAGGAAATAATTTGTGTCACATGACAGATGACAGACAATGGAGGTTATGCAACGAAGCCGTCTGCTAGAAACAACAACTAACGTCAACAGACACATATGTCACAGGCGCAGTTGTGATTAAATGCATGATGCCCGGCCCTACATTTTGATAGGCAATTAAGTTAATCCAGGTAATTGGTTCAAAAAGTTTTCCAAGGAGGAGAAACTAGAACTACAGTTACGAAGGCCGTCTGGCTGACGTAACTCAATGATAAAACTAGCAGATGTGTGTGTCATCAACTATCTTGCCATGGACTTTTTTCTGGCATACGTGTTCGATTGCACTAAATTATTTCAGTGAAGACCTACTTATGTTATGGCATTATTTTTTTTAAATATATTCGCTTTGAAACGATTTAAGAATTATTTGATTGATAACCAGTCACATTGGTTATGGTACTTATCAGTAAGAAATAGCTTTCTTGACAAAGTAATATGTATGTCTCATGTATTGGAATGTTTTGATTTGTATTTTGATTAGGAAAATGTCTTTTCCAGGAGTCATTTTGTTTTTAAGTCAAAATGTTTAAAGGCCTTAAAAACAAAATACGTGAGGAAACTGGGAGTGATGTGTCAAGAATTATAGGTGGTACACCCCAAAATAAGACCACATTTAAAGGAAGACATTCTCGTCAAGGATCAACATCAAGTGTTGGCAGCTTGTCAATTGATGGAATTCGTGAGGAGAACTCTCAATCACCAGAGTTCATTGATCATAGTAGCGAAATAAACCAGGATGACTGTAAGTCGTTATCTCAACGAGATGTAAAGTTGATTGACAAGCGGGAAGAAGAATGGAAAAAGAGACTGGGCAAGCTAGAAATTGAATGGAAACGGAAACTTGATGAGAAAGACAGAGAATGGAAAAAACAATTGGAATCTAAAGATGATGAAAAACTCTTAAATGAGAAAACTATTGAACAGCTACAGAAATCTCTACAATTGGCTGAAGGTCAGTAATTTCAATATTAAAATGTGTGTCATAGTCTTGGGTGAATCTTACCAAGAAATTTTACATTTTCAGAATTTAAAGAAAAATATTGCAAATTTCAAGAAGAAAAAGAGCAGCTTGAAGGATTTCAGTCACAAGAAATGTCAAAAATTAAACATTTGGTAGGTTGTGGGTTACAAAGAAATATTACGTTACAACTTGTTTGGTCGTTGCTGTATCTGATGTTACTATTTGTCTCACTTAGCTCCTAGCAAAAGAGAGAGAGCTGTCAGAAAGAATCAACTCACTGAAAGAGATGAATATCCAGAATTCAACCCTTAAACTAGAAGTTGCGCGTTTGCGACGATTTGAAGAGGAAATCAGCAACATTCAGGTTAGTAGGTAACTAATTTTCATTTCCCATGTTAAAAGGGAAAAAAGAGAACTTTTCGTTTTGATTGAGCTCTGCTTTCACTGCTTATCATTTCAAAGGTCAACACCGCATTTTGACAGCTCTATTTAGTGCTTTAATAACACAGTGCACTTCATACAAACCAACTTTTTAAAAAACATTGTGCAAGGCTTATTAGAGTTTTCTGTGAACTATTCAGTATTTGGATGATCAAGGAAAGAAGTAAGACTGATCAGAACTCCTAATTTTTTATTTAGTTACAACCTGAAACACATGATTCAGGTAGTGGGAGTCATTGTATAATAGATTTCCAAAAGACTCATGAGAACAAAAAGGGAAAAGACAACACATTTTTGTTGTTATTTAACTTTTTTACCTTTTCCTTACAATTTTTACAATTTTTTACATTTTCCTTCTCTCTTACCATTGTTGTCTCTCTCTAAATCAATGCACAACATACTTCACTCAATAATTGGTCTGCCTCATTTTGTTTTAATCAATTGTTTCAAAAGCATGTTTTCATAGGTTTCTGATTGTAGTGTATCATGGCTTTTGGATTTTTTGTGTTATTCTACTCTTTTGGGCTATGCGTTGCACCATATGACTGGTTTGGCTAGCAAGTGTCTACTAGTTCTTCATCAATAATTTGTGATCCTGAACAATGAAGATCACGTCCATCAGTTTGCATCCCCAGGCTTTCGTTTTTCGTTTGGTGTTTCATCAATTACTATATCTTTTGAAGCAACATCAATTATTACATAACCTGAAGCTATTAGAGAAGCTAATGAATTGAATGAAGGTTTGTCTTATTGTGCATTCACTTTACATAAGTAATGTCCTTGTTGCATGTTTGTCTTACATTATTTTTTGTAAACAACACTCAATATTTTCCATATTGCATGTGGTATAATTACAGGCATGGTGGTAGAACTTTGACGATAGTTGATTTATGCTAGTACTTTGTTTTCTCATACATCATGTTTGACATTAAATCGGTTGAGCCTGGTGATTAATTTTCTTCTTTCATGGTACAGGATGAAATGGAGACTTTGCGGCATTCCTCTGAGCAAGAACGAACAACTCTCAGAAGTGAGTTAGCTCAAAGTGAAGAAAATGTTCGCCATCTTTGTGACAGAGTTGCTGTTTTAGAAAGGAGAACAAGTGCAGACTGTGTGGCACTTGGTGCTCCACTATCAATTGATGAAAGAATTCAGGGGCTTTTAGGAGAGCGGACCCTCTTGGAAAGACGCCTTGAGGAAGCTCACCTGCATTTAGCTGACATTAAGTCTTCTTGGAGTAGTAAAATAACATCACTAGAAACACAAGTAAGATTCCCACACAAATAGCACTATATTTTTAATTTATAATCCAATTTCGCACTTTTAACCAAAGTTCAATTTTAGGTTGGACGGTTGTGCCGGCAAGCTGCAGAAGAAGGTGCAGAGAGAAGAAGGACAGAAAAAGAATGTGAGCAACTTCAGGCAAGAGTTCATCAACTTGAAACTGAGCTGGCAACTGCAGCAGAGGGAGCTCTGCAAACAAGCACATTGGCCCAAGAACTTGAACAAATTCGAAGTGAACTTGTAAGTGTTTTTCACATTCTCTCTAAGATATTTTCTACTGTGAGTTTGCCTTTGACCTGGAACTCTTTTCACCTTCTCATACTCATTTTATAAGACTAATGGTATTGAATTTAAAGTGCCTGTTTGGTTTGCATGCATTTAGGTAATTGGTTTCAATTGTAATTTTGCATGACCTGTAGAAATTCGACCCTGCTCCTCCTCATTAAGTTCTATGCATTTGCTGGTACTGGCAATAGATTTATTACACCTTTACACCTCCCTTCTACACACAGGAGGCATACCCCTTCTGGTCACTTTGTGTTTCATTAAGTTATAAAATATAGTAGGCCAGAGGTATACTGTGAAAACTGAACAGTGTACATTCTATGGTGAAATATCAGCAATCATAGATGATTAATGATTTATCAGTGTTCATGACATGTACACTGATTTATCAACAATCACCAGGAATCATCTCATCAATGCTCATGTTATGGTTTTTTGCTACAATATCCTTTGAGACGGATAATTTTGGGAATTGGATGACATTTTCATGCTGATTGTTCAGTGTACATGCCATATTCATTGTTAATCAGTGATCATCAATGATTGTAGGTATTTCAGCATACAATGTGCACCACTCAGGTTTTTAGACTAGACAGTATTTTTGGTCTGATTTTGATTTTATTTGTTTCTTCAATCTGGGTGTCTTGACATTCTCTTCACAATTGGAAATTTCCAGCTTATTTTACATTACATTTTACAGATGGAGTCTTCAGATGAAGAGACTACTTGGTTTAAGTGTCAGACTTACATTGGCAAGGAGTGATACCAAGAACTTTATTTAAAAAAAAAAAATGGATTCCTTTTTATGTCACTAAAAAAGTTATATAGTCCATTTGCATAGTGTGACTGATGGTTTATTTTTTAATACATTTTGCATGCAGTTGTCTTTTATTCTTTGTGTTATTATTGTAGTATTGAATCAGTGTGCTCATTAAAGCTCATTATGTCTTCTAAACATGGAAACTCCTTGAAGGGTGCTTGCATGAAAAACATTACATGGAGTTGTCAGATGTCTAGCCAAGATACCCATAAACTAACAGGTCAATGATGGTCTTAACGAAAACAAAATGATTACCTCTTAGTATTTTTTCAACTCTAGGTTTTATCACCATAATGGGTCATCTAGGATTTCTACTGTTGTCTGTTACCTAGATGCCTTTTTAAAACTGTTATTCGTTTTAGATTACTTCGTAGAATAGTTATCTTTTGGTATTATCTTTGTAGTTTTATTAATTAATTTGATTGTTTTCTATTATTACACTATGAGGCTGGCTCTTAATAAATTTTTTGTTTTTAGTTGCTTTTTTTAAATTGTTTTAAAGATGGGAACTACTGTAGCAATCTCCCTTTCACCCCTATGTCCCTCTTTCTCTCTCTTTTCTACCACACTGTATGTATTGGTAAGCCCACTAAATATGTACTAAGAACAACATTGCTTCTATTTGTGTGTTCAGAGCTTGTACATCTAGTTTGTTCTTGCTTCTAAAACCCTAACATTTTCACTTTAGCCTCTGTATGACCATTTCCAATTTTAAAACTTGACGTGTGATGGAGGAATACAGTTATCAATGCTCTCAAACAGCAAACAGATCACACTAAGACATTTCGTTTTGATGTGTTATTTTTTATTGTGTCGTTTTTTTTGTTTGCTTCATCATGTGTTTTTATTTGTCTGGCAGGATGCAGCATTGATGGAGAAGACTGAAGTTTCTGTGGAGCTGAAGGAGACTAGAAATTCTTTAGAAGAAGAAGTAAAAAGACTGAATGAAACATTATCCTCACAAAAACTTGAAATGGAATTGTTTCAAGTCAAGTCAGATGCTGAAGTAAAAAAACTCAAAGAAGAAATTTCAGACTTACATAAGTTGATGAAATCTACCGCTGACTCCTCTAAAATGCAAATAAGCACTCTCCAATGTGAGCTTGAAGCAGAAAAGTTAAAGTGTGCTGAAATATTAACTGCCTTGAATACAGAGAGGAGTGCAAAGGAAGCTGCTGAGCTGAGAGCAAATACAATTTCTGATGAGGTAAAAACTTATAAACTGAATTACTTAAATCCTTATCAAAGTTCTTATTTTATCTAAATTATGAACTTTTACAGGTACACAATTCTAATGAATGTATTGACTCTAAGCAAAATGAAATTTTAGAACTAAAGAGTTATGTAGCAGTACTGGAAAGCAGTATTGCATCAAAGGACAAAGTATGTCAAAATTATTGTTTGTTATAAGTAAAGGTTCTGAATTTTTATTTTTCGTTTTCCCTTTTACTAACTTGAATTTTATGCACAGGAAATATCCCAAGTTCAAAGCCAAAATGATAAAATAACTATCGAAGTGCAAGAACTAGAAAAGGAAAGGGATATGTATATTGCCAAATCCAATCAAGACAAGGATTTGCAGGACATAGTTTCAGAGCTTGAATCCCAACTTGTTGATAAGAATAAGGTACAGAATGACCATACAAATGGAAATGCAACTCTCAATCAATTTTGCTTATGTGTGTTTTTTTCTTCTGTTGAGCAGTCTATCAAACAGCTTCAGCAAAGATTAGGTGATATGAAGAAAACACTTCAAAAAGAACTGAATTTGCATCCAGATGGTTATGGTGGAGATATTACAAAAAGCAATGGAACTACCGGCATAGCCCTTGATGATACTTCTGCTGCTGTACTTGCCCCAAGCTCAAGCCATCAGGTTTCTCAAAGAAGATTACAACAACAAGCAGGAGCAGCTTTTAGCTCTGAAGGAAGTAATGATGTGAATTTTCAGTACCTGAAGCATGTGCTCATCAAATTTCTCACTAGTCGGGAATATGAGGTTTGTGGAGTGTGTTGTTCTAAATTGTTTACCTTTATTTGAAGCATTTCTAATCTTAATTAATGTTTCTCTGTCTGATTTGATCCAGGCCAAACATTTAACCAGAGCTGTTGCAACTCTTCTTCATTTCTCTCCAGAAGAAGAAAAACTTCTTCAAGAAACATTGGAGTGGAAAATGTCTTGGTTTGGCTCTCGACCTAACCTTGGATTTGGCCAAACAGCTAAAACTATTCGTCCCAGTTAATTATAATTACATTCATTTTTAAAATTAAACTATCCGTTTCTGTTGTGGTAACTAATTTTCTATTGAATCATGTAATGTAAGCTAAAATATTCCATTTTGCCCTCACATTTTTTTTCTAGCTTTATGGAGTTGTGATTTTGTGATTTATGCTAAGCTGATTTGGCTATATTTCACAAGATTCATTTTATCAAATTCCTGAAATTCCTGAAATGTGATCAATGTGTTCATATACTTGTGATTAATATATATGTACTCACATTAGAAAGCAATTGCTCTATGTGGATTGCATGGGCTGTGTAATGCACTGGACATTTCTCAATGATCTTTACAAAAAAACAAAAACAATGCATAGTTTCCTGTGGTCAAGTCAAGACAACAAGATGTTAGTATTGGATGTATGTAATCCAATTTTGAGGAGATTTCTGTGGATATGCTTGAGAGAATAAGTAGGTTAATTATTCTGTATGACTGTGGTACCTTTAGTCAACAAGTCCTCTATCTTGTCCACGTGCCATGCACCTGCTTGTTTTGTTATGTTTAAGTTTATTTCATATTTTAACATAACTTTAGACCATGTTATCTTCCGTCCTTTAAAAATGCATTTTTTATCGGCTTTGTTTTAATCTCTTATTGTTGTTAATTTATACAAAGATATGATTATATGTAGTCAATTTAAACTGAAATTGAAACTGTTTTAAAATTGAGCAATCTTTGAACACTTAGTGTGATACACTCTAGCTCTAGCAACATTGTTTCCTTATTTTCTAGTCTTTAATAGATGAGATTGATCAAAGAATGTTAACTGTGCTGCAAGCATCCCAACCACACCCCACCTAGTATTGAGGCCTACTGTTATATTTTAAGAGTGAGATTTATTTGTATTTCTATCTATTATTTTCATTCCCATAGAATATTTTCTTTATAATCTAGATTCAAAATAGCTTGTTAGTAAATGAGCAGCTTTGTCATTAATTTCAATGTCTGCCAAAGAATCTGGTCTATCACAAAGAATCAAGAGTTACACTCTGTAAATTTGACACAGTCTTAACTAACTTACAGGGTGGTCCAAAGACCCCCTCCTTTATTTTGCTTATGCTGTACCGCATGCAGGCGTGGCGGGCGGGCTTGCCTGCCGTCGCTCCGCACGGCGCCTTATGGCCCCGTGTGAGTATGCAACCCGCCCGCACTACCGCATGCGGTACAGTATAAGCAAAATAAAGGAAGGGGTTTATGGACCACCCTGTATAACACGGTGAAGATATGTTCTGGATTATATCAATAATTTCTCCAGAGTATCATGATTTTTTAAAATTAAAATGAAATAACTATTCCTCGAGCTAACAAACTTTTGGGGATGAGGGACCAAATATCTATTGTCATGTTGGTTGGTAAAACCATTTCCAACCTGTATTGAGTGCACTGAAAGATAAGTAAGATGAAAAGTGGGTAAATGTTCTCACTCTTTATAAGTATTATTTTCCCCCAGTTTATTTTCATTTTGTTTTTATCACTTACATCAAAGAGTGAAACAAGTGAAATGTGTGAACCACGTTAATTTGGTCCTTTTAGGATACAATCAAAGGGACAAAAACATTTTGACTTATTTGTAACAATTGATGAATTATCTACCGCTTCCACAACAAGTCAATTCCACTGCTGTTGGAAATAAGTCTGTTGAAATGAAGCAAAATTTTCGGATTTGTCATAGTGATTTGACTTTATATACCTTAAACTATATTTTACTACTGTATTTAACGAGGTCGAATAAACTCAACACCCATTCAATCACTGTACCACATTGAATTATTAAGTGCTCGTGTTTGTGCGACCTTCTGCAATCCGCCCGCATCCCGGACGCGGGGCGCTTTTCGTTCAAGTTTCCTTAGCTTCAGCAGCGGTTCGATTCAAACGAGTTGGACCGGACACGCCTAACGACGGCTCCGATCGTCGTGGACGGTCGAAATGAGCGGGGAAGATATCCGAGCAAGCTTCAGGGAATGCAGGTGTCGATCACCCGTCAGGAGGAAATCCGCTCGAGAACCGGCAGTTATCGACTGCAATCTGAAATCACACGCCCTTCTAGCCCGTTCCTTTCCGTACCTTTCTGCACGGTACGTTCGAGGAGGCATACTCACTCACTGTACGCGAGTGCGAGTGTGGAGGGCGATGGGAAGAAGGGGGTCGAGGGGAGGATTCACCGAACTCGCTCACTCGGCGACGCGAGACGAGCGCGATGACAATGCTTTGTTTCCCGGCGCCGCGTCGCGCGCGAGGCAATGAGGTAATTGATGCGGACCAAAGCCCGGCCTGACTCATGCAGCAGGGAGCGCGGGAAAGGACCAGCAGCATCAGACCGACCGGCCAGAGTCCGGGGGCGTGGCGGGGCGGGGCGGGGC